CTCTCCCATTTCTACACATCTACACACACGGAAGGAGACATATACAAGGATATTCACTGTAGCAGTCATTTTTTTTTGAGACAAGGTTTACTTATTTTGAGACAAGGTCTCACCCTGTCACCCAGGCTGGAGTACAGTGGTGTAATCTCAGCTCACTGCAGCGTCAACCTACCTCCTAGGCTCAAGCAACCCTCCCACCTCAGCCTCTCGAGTAGCTGGGATTACAGGCGTGTGCCACTATACTCAACTAATTTTTTGGTATTTTTTAATAGAGATGAGGTTTCATCATGTTGCTGAGGCTGGTCTCAAACTCCAGGGCTCAAATGATCCTTGGTCTCCCAAAGCACTGGGATTACAGGTGTGAGCCACCACACCGAGCCCCAAAGACTTTTTTTTTCCTTTTTCTTTTTTTGAGACAGGGTCTCACCCTGTCACCCAGGCCAAAGTGCAGTGGTGCAATCAAGGCTCACTACAGCCTTGAACTCCCAGATTCAGGTGATTCTCCCATCTTAGCTTCCCAAATAGCTGGGACTAGAGGCACTTGCCACCACACATAGCTAATTTTTTGTATTTTCAGTAGACATGGGGTTTTGCCATGTTGTCCAGGCTAGTCTCAACTGCCTGAGCTCAAGAGATCTGCCCATCTTGGCCTCCCAAAGTGCTAGGATTACAGATGTGAGCCACCATGACCAGCCACAGAGATTTTTAATAGTGAAAACCTGGAAACAATCTAATGTTCATCAATAGGACAACAAATAAAAAGTGGTACCTATAGGTAAAACATTACTATAATCAACAGGAATGTACCAAACCTACTCAGTATCAACATGGATAGATTTTTTTAAAAACAATATTAAATATTTTTCATGGATCTATACCTATGAAAGATTACAAGATGGTCTAAAAGAACACACACTAAACTCATAATAGTAGTTACTTCCAGGAATGTAAAAGGGAGACTAACTGGTAGTAGTGATTAATTTTTTAAAAAAGAAGAAAAAGGTAGAGGAAGAAACTGAGCAAATAAACCAAATCTAACAATGGCTAATTCTGGATGGTGGGAATATCATAGAGTGGTGGTTGGCAAACTAAGGTCTGTGTACCATGTCCAGCCCACCATCTGTTTTTGTAAATAAAATTTTATTAGAGGCCAGGTGCACTGGCTCACACCTGTTATCCCAGCACTTTGGGAGGCTGAGGCAGGTAGATCATGAGGTCAGGAGTTCAAGACCAGCTTGGCCAAGATGGTGAAAGCCCGTCTCTGCTAAAAATACAAAAATTAACTGGGCATTGTGGTGGGCATCTGTAATCCCAGCTACTGGGGAGGGTGAGGCAGAGAACTGCTTGCACCTGGGAGGCAGAGGTTGCTGTGAGCCAAGATCACACCACTGCACTCCAGCCTGGGAGACAGAGTGAGACTCCATCTCAAAAAATAAAATTTACTGGAACACAGCCATGCTCACTCTTTAATGTATTGTCTATGGTGGCTTCTGTACTACAATAACAGAGAAGACAGAGTCTACAGTTACAACCAGAAAGTCTGCAAAGTCTAAAATATTTACTATCTAGACTTTTATATAAAAAGTTTGCTGAGTTTTAAAGATTTTCTTCTTTGTACTTTTCCGTATTTTTCACCTTTCCCAAAAATTTAAAACCATTTAAGTAACTTGAGGGAGATTCACAACAAAGTCCTCAGTGAAACCAAGAAAAGATTCTAAAACTGTCAGGCTTTTTTTTTCATGTTGTAAGAGTGTTACATTATTTATTATTATACTTTTTATAGACTAAAGTAAAAATATTAATCAGAACTATTCTGTAACAGTTTAAATAACTGGTGAATTATAGAAATATTCCACATAGGGAAAACATATATAGGGCAGCTACATGAAATAGGAGGTATATTTTCCTAAAAGACTAAATAATTCAAAACTAATATAATTCAAGACTAATTATCTCATACATGTAGAGGAAAGACGCATTCTCAGAGCATATAAATCTATAACTAATATAGAATGGGTTTTTTTTGTTTTTTTTTTTTTTTTTGAGATGGAGTTTCGCTCTTGTTACCGAGGCTGGGGTGCAATGGCACAATCTCGGCTCACAGCAACCTCCGCCTCCTGGGTTCAGGCAATTCTCTTGCCTCAGCCTCCTGAGTAGCTGGGATTACAGGCACGTGCCACCATGACCAGCTAATTTTTTGTATTTTTATTAGAGACAGGGTCTCACCATGTTGACCAGGAGGTCTCGATCTCTTGACCTCGTGATCCACCCGCCTCGGCTTCCCAAAGTGCTGGGATTACAGGCTTGAGCCATCATGCCTGGCCTTAATATAGAATGTTTTTATGAATACATATTAATACTTATTAATATGTAACAATACATTAATACCTTGATTATACAATTGTGTGGTTAATAATTATTAATGTACAACACAGTGATTTATTATATAATTTAAAAATATAATTTAATGCACAATACATAATATACAAGTAAATACCAAGTTAACTTAATGACAGTTCATTATCTAATGTGGTATACTGCTTGAAAATAATTAAGGAGAAATTATGATCACCTTCCAATAACACAAATAATGAGAGAGTTAAGAGACACTAAATTAGGACAAGCTACCTCTCCAGATTACAATGAAGGCTGGTCTGATTCTGTGGAAGACTTTTGCTAAAGAATGAATCTAATTTAGTTTGTTTTTTCTTTTATTTTTTTTTTCACTGAGGATTTCTTAATATGCAGACACATTTTTCATCTTTAGCCTTGCCACCACGAACAGCAATCCACATTTAGATCACCTTCGAAAATAGTGCTGCTGAAATATGGTCAAAAGCCTACGGCAGTCACTTTACTGTTAGTTGTGCCCAAGGCCCGGATTGATTACTAGGACTCTCTTCCAGCTGCCTTTGTTTTTCTAATTCTAGCAAGACCTCCTTTATTAATCCATGGGGGACAACCCAAGCAAATATTCAATATCCCCTTCATGAACTCTGTGCAAATCTACCTTCTGTTTTACTTTCACAGATTCCTTATTAGCAGGTGTTACGTTGTCTTCCAAGTTAAAGCCTCTTTAAATTACGGTAAAGCTGAAATGATAGCTTTGGAGTTAGCAGATACAGCTTGCCAGCTCATTTTTATATTCCTAAAACCTTGGATGGGCTTTAAAATCAGAGAGCCAGCTATGACTTGTAGTAAATCTTTTGTCTCACTGTCACCTATTTTCAAATCAAAATCAAAATACTCACACCTTAGCACAAATGATAGATTGCCCTCAGGGGTGCATAATGGCAGCATTGATCTTGCAACTTGTATTTCGAGGATTTTTTTTTTCCATTTATTCCATTATCATTGCCTGCTTATAATTTTTGTGAACTAAGTGGCATACCTGCTTTAATACCGATTTTGATTTTTGAGCACTACTGCAAATATTCTGCAGGGTACGCTCTCCTAAATTAGCAGCATGAGATAACACAGCAGTGGTTTGAACATCTTCATAGATTTTTTTTTTTGAGACAGAGTTTCTCTCTGTCTCAAAAAAAAAAAAAAAAAAAATCTATGAAGAAATCTCTGTCGCCCAGGCTGGAGTGCAGTGGCTCGATCTCAGCTCACTGCAAACTCCACCCGCCGGGTTCAGGTGATTCTCCACCTCAGCCTCCTTAGAGCTGGGATTACAGGCACCTGCTACTGCACCCAGCTAATGTTTTTTTTTTTGCATTTTTGATAGAGACAGGGTTTCCCCAACTTGGCCAGGTTGGTCTTGAATGCTAACCTCATGATCCACCCGCCTCGGCCTCCCAAAGTGCTGGGATTACAAGAACGAGCCACCATGCCTGGCCTCCTTATACCACAACTAACTTTCGTTCTAAAGTTATTAAATTTGGGGGACATTTTTAAGCACTAGCACCACCACTTAATATAACACTTAAATGACAGTGTTCTACAATTTAATTATATCAAGAGCAAATGTTAAGACAGCAGCACAAGCTGGGTGCCATCAGCTCACGCCTGGAATCACAACAGCTTGGGAGGCCAAGACCAAGACCCTGTCTCAACAAAAGAAAAAAACAAAATAAGCTGGGCATGGTGGTAGACACCTGTGGTCCTAGCTCCTCAGGAGGTTGAGGTAAACAATCACTTGAGCCCAGGAATTGCAGTGAGCTATGATCATGCCACTGCACTCCAGCCTGGGCAACACAGCAAGAACCTGTCTCAAAAGAAAAAAATAAAACACATAACATAACAGTCAACAAAAACATTAACTCGAGACCTGATAGAGTATCATGTGACACTGATGAAGGATGATGGGAATTTTGTTTTCCTGCTAAAGTGGTGCTGATACACGGCAACAATGCCGTAATTTGCAATCAGCCTGCCAGACTTGAAATTATGCATTTCTTGAACATTTCTTTTAATTTTGAGAAGTCTCACAATATTTCAAATTTGAGACATAAACTGGAAGTCTAAATATATTTTTACTTTGCACTATTTTCAGACTCACATAATTCAAAGTTGCATAAAACAGGACTATATTGAACTTTCGAAACTTCTAAAAGGAAAATACTGGAATACGGTAAAAGAGAAAAATAATGCAGCCTTGTTATTTCCAACTAGGTGGAATTAACAAGAATTTAAATAAATTTAAAAACCTGAATACAAATAATAAATCAGGAATGCATTCTTACTAATTATCTCAGATTAAACTGTAAGATTCAAAACAAAAGCACACAATATATTACTATACTTTTTTAAAGACTAAGCTTGCCACTATGAATAGCAATCCACATTTACATCATCTTCAAAAATAGTAATTGCTGCTGAAATATGGTCAAAAGCTTATGCTAGTCACTATACTGTTACTTATGCTCAAGATCCAGATTGATGACTAGGACCCTCTTCCAGCAAACAGAAAAGTATTCAGATATTAGAATGCTATATCCAAAGTGAAAATAAGCCCAAGTGGCATTATCAAGAAAAGTATTAACAATCAAACTCACATATTCAATGATCTTTGCTGCCTCTTTGGTAACTGCACCTGTTGTAAATTAAAATAAACATTATTCTTAAAATATACAGAAGTAAACACAGAAACCAAGAAGTTACTTTCCTCCAATTAAGGTGAGCTACAGACTAAACCAGAATTTCTCAGAAAAATGGTACAAGGAAACTCTGCATCAGTATCACCCAGGGTGCTTAGTAAAGGTAAGGATTCCTGGGCCCCAACCCAATCCAACTGTATTAGAATTTCTGGCAGTAAAGGAGTAGAATATTAAATCATCTGGGCTCTTAAAAAAAATACCACTTCCAGTGGAGTGTTTCTGAGCCTACTCTGGCTCAAGAGGCTGCCTGATTAAAAGAAAAAAAATTAGACAGGCGTGGTGGCCTATAATACCAGCACTTTGGGAGGCCAAATCAGGAGGATCATTTGAGGCCAGGAGTTCTAGACCAGCTTGGCCAATATGGTGAAACCCCGTCTCTACCAAAAATATAAAATCAGCTGAGTGTGGTGGCAGGCACCTGTAAACCCAGCTACTCAAGAGGCTGAGGCAGGAGAACCGCCTAAACCCGGGAGGCAGAGGTTGCAGTGAGCCGAGATTGCGCCACTGCATTCCAGCCTGGGCAAAAGAGTGAGACTCCATCTCAAAAAAGAAAAGAAAAAAATTAAAAATTGAAAAAAACAAAAACACTTCCTTTCCTACCCACACCACCTTGCTTGCTACCTACTTCCCTGTTGGGAGGCGGGGGAGGGATGTTCCCCTACATCAGGTAAGGAAAGATATTACTAATAAGAACTACTGGCCAGGCACAGTGGCCCACATCTGTAGTCCCAGCACTTTGGGAGGCTGAAGCAGATGGATCACCTGAGGTCAGGACTTTGAGACCAGACTGGCCAACATGGTGAAACCCCATCTCTACTAAAAATACCAAAATTAGCTGGGCGTGGTACCAGGCACCTGTAATCCAGGTACTCGGGAGGTTGAGGCAGGAGAATCGCTTGAACCCAGGAGGCAGTGGTTGCAGTGAGCTGAGATCTTGCTATTGCACTCCAGCTTGGGCAACAACAGCAAAACTCCATCTCAAAAAAAAAGAACAACTTAGGCTAGACAACACTCACTTTTATGGCTTAGCCAAATGCCATTATATCAAGTCACACCTTTTAAAACACCGTTTCCTGTAGATGAAGCAGCAGGTGCCAATGACACCACACTGGTTATAACTGGTGTTGTATTTGTCCTTGCGGAAGGGTGCTCCATCACAGCAGTTTTCGCCTTAGAAATATTTACTGATTAAAACAAAAAGTTAAGACCTGGAATAAGCAAAAGGGTCTCTCTCTCTCATACACACTCACACTGACATACACACACAAAACCTGTTTAACAACTAGGTGTTCAAGAAGCAATGCAAATATCTGATTCTGATTCTGTATGTTAGGTTGGGTGATTCTGTTCAGATTAGTGTTCATTAGGATTTAAACAGAGTCCCATTCTATAAAATTATAAACCTCAAATGACATTTATCAGGTAAAAATACAGGTGTTAGATACAGTGGCACCAGCCTGTAATCCCAGCTACTTGGGAGGTTGATGCAGGAGCATCACTTGAGCCCAGGAGTTCGAGACCAACCTGGGTAACATAGCAAAACTTAGTCTCAAAACAAAAAAACAGTTATTAGCTTCAGGATTCACTGGGCTGTTTTATTAGTGACTATTAGAACTTCTAGACCTAAGTGTGCATCAAATAAAAACTTAACCTGTAAGTTTTTATAAATAAGTTAATGAGGGAGCTGTCCAACCCCATAACAGTGGTTTTCTCAACATATAAAATGAATATTCTACCACCAACCTGACTGGTTCAGGGGAATGGAGGACTAACACAGAAGATTAGCACAAGGCAGCCAGGTGCGGTGGCTCACACCTGTAATCCCAGCACTTTGGGAGGCCGAGGCGGGCGGATCACTAAGTCAAGAGATTGAGACCATGTTGAAACCCCGTCTCTACTAAAAAATACAAAAATTAGCTGGGTGTGGTGGCACGGCTGGGCAAAATTACAGGGCTGGGCGCCTGTAGTCCCAGCTACTTGGGAGGCTGAGGCAGGAGAATCTCTTGAACCAGGAGGAGGAGGTTGCAGTGAGCTGAGATCGCGCCACTGCACTCCAGCCTGGCACTTGGCAACACTGCGAGACTCTGTCTCAAAAAAAAAAAAAAAAAAAAAAAGATTAGCACAAGGCATTTATGATTAAGGTAAACATTAATAAGACTGCAAAGGTAGGCAATGTTCAGCCTGCAAGGAGCCAAAGCTCTGTCAAGTATGCAGCACCACAGGCTTTAATCAGAGAACATAATGCCAACTGTTTTTTTTTTTCTCTGAGAGAGAGAATATAAGTCTGTCACCCAGGTTGTAGTGCCACGGCATAATCTCAGAGCATTGCAACCTCCGTCTCCCAGGTTCCAGTAATTCTCATGCCTCAGACTCCTGAGTAGCTGGGATTACAGGCATGCACCACCACATCTGACTAATTTTTGTATTTTTAGTAGAGATGAGGTTTCACTATGCTTCCCAGGCTGGTCTCGAACTCCTGGCCTCAAGTAATTTGCCCGTCTCAGCCTCCCAAAGTGCTGGGATTACAGGTGTGAGTTACCATGCCTGGCTACCAAATGTTTTTAATCTAATACTAAGAAAGAAATATTTAGGAGAGCTACTTTATGAATATACCATGGATCTATCTACTCACCTGGATAATCTGACCACATTAGCCGTCCTACTTGCAAAATTATTTTATTCTTAGCCAGGATAAACTTTGCTACCCATGAAGAACTGGTCTATTTTATATTTTCTGAGATAATTAATGTGTTGTTCTTTTCTCCTTGCCTATAAGCAAACTCTGAATCAAATTTTACACCAGTCACAGCAACTATATTAACTATAATCTCCCTTTGCCCCGATTTTCTATTTTTATTTCTACTTTATTAGCTAAATAGTACATATCCCTAGTTTAAGTTATGTACAGATGCATTCAATCAAACTCAATCAAATCTAACTTTCCTATAAAAATTAGTGCATACACATTATTTGCCTTTTGGTGTGCTTCACTATCAGAGCAAAAAGCAATAGAATGAATTTGCCCTCAAGGAGAAATCTTAAAGACTTCTTGAAGAAAAATTTAAGGAAATTCAAGCTATCTGAAGCCAGTGAAATTTTGTTTTTATTATATTATTTACAATTGTGTGTGCTGATAGTATCCTATAACTGACATAAAGATTCCATCAGCTAAGTTTAATTTTACCTTTACTTTGTGGAAGAGAGTCATTCATAATTTGCTGATGACAAAACTCCAAAACACAAAATAGGTTACAGAAATGTTTGATGTTGCCTCGCCACTTTATGGACTCGCTTAGTTTACCCTGTCGTTTACAACCATCACACTTGGCCATCTGAGAAAGAAACGTTAGACAAGATAGGCTTAAAACTATAAAATAACGAAAAGATAATGATCATGAAAGAGGCACTATAAAAACAGGATACATGAGTCAGCTGAGACTACAAAATGTAAAGTTCTTACCTTAAAATACTGATTTTTAAAATATATATTTAATTATTTGTTTCATATAGATGCCCTAAATCAAGATAATATGAAAATTGTGGCCTGTAATCCCAACCCTTTGGGAGGCCGAGGCAGGCAAATCACTAGGTCAGGAGTTTGAGACAAGCCTAACCAGCATGGTGAAACCTGTCTCTACTAAAAATACAAAAATTAGCCAGGGGTGGTGGTGCATGCCTGTAATCCCAGCTAATCAGGAGGCTGAGGCAGGAGAATCACTTGAATCAGGGAGGCACAGGTTGCAGTGAGCTGAGATCGTGCCACTGCACTCCAGCCTGGGCAACACAGCAAGACTCTGTCTCCAAAAAAAAAAAAAATTGCTCTTCTGTTTTCAAAATTACCAATAAAGGAATCTAAAGACAGGTTCCTAACCAGGCATGGTAGTGCATGCCTCTAGTCCCAGTTACCCAGAGGCTGAGGCAGCAGAATTGCTTGAAACCAGGAGGCGAAGGCTACAGGGAGCCAAGATCTCGCCCCAACCTGGGCAACAGAACAAGATTCTGTCTGGAGAGGGTGGCATGTGGAGGGGTGGGAAGAAAAGATACACAATGAAGGAAAAAGTTAAAAAATATATATAGGTTCAACTTTAAAAAAATGAAGCAGCAGCTTACAGCAGTTGATATAATATGGGCTTTGGAGTCAAAGATTTTTATTCATTCAGCAAATATTTAATTAGACATTCTTTGTCTTAAACAGTGTGACTGGTCCTAATTATACAATCATGAAAAATATATTACCCTCCCCTGACAATAAAATTCCATTTTGTGGGTGAGGTAGACAAGCACACAGTGATTTCACCAGAGTTATAGATGCTGTCTTGCTGTCACCTACCAGCTTCCTCAAGAGCTTATTACTTGACATCCCTGGACCTCTCTCCTTTTCCTTATTTATAAAATGGCAATAATATACTTACCTCTTGAGGCTATGGTAAGGATTAAATGAAATAACACTTGTGGAGCACAAGACATGTATTAGTGGTTCAATTAACTATAGGTACCAGTTAACCTTTCAAAAAGTTAATCTTTTTTAAAAGGAGGTCGTAATGATTGCCAGTTATTGTCCTTCAGCCTATGAAGTGAGACAAGGTCTGACTTCAAATTCCTCAGAGTAGCCTGAATGAGAGAGCCACTTCAGGCAACATTATGTGAAATTCTAATTTGTCGAAAAAGGACAATGTGCCTTATAAGAAGGCAAAAATAAAAGGAACTTAGCCAATCAACAACAGTCTGCAGAAATCCTATACTCCTTTTATCCCAAAGACTTCATGTTTATATTCAACTGAATTTTTCTATGATAGCCCATAACTTATTTTATCCAGCTCTAAACACCAAATTTTTCTTCACAGTATCTGAACATATTTTAAATAGAAAACAATTTGCACTAATTTCAGGAAGCCAAAAAAAAAGTATATCATCACATTTACCTGATAAAACAGAACTGTAAATTTGGACATACAATCTTCACAACAAAACTCTTCTAACTTGCCCTCCAATCGATTTTCTACCAAATTCGGGGACGTCTGTGAACAGTAGCTGCACGTCTTACAGTAGTTTCCCCATCGTTCCCCAAAGTCACGGGCAGAGAGGAATTTGCAAACTGAGGATCAGAGGGATGAAAGGAAGAAAGATCAAATTTACATTAACTTGGAGGAGGTAAAATAAGTTTCTGTGGTCTTAGATATAAAACTTTCTAAATACTTTTTTTTTTTTTTTTTTGAGACAGAGTGTCGCTCTTGTTACCCAGGCTGGAGTGCAATGGCACGATCTCGGCTCACCGCAACCTCCGCCTCCTGGGTTCAAGCAATTCTCCTGCCTCAGCCTCCTGAGTAGCTGGGACTACAGGCACGCGCCACCATGCCCAGCTAATTTTTTGTATTTTTAGTAGAGACGGAGTTTCACTACGTTGACCAGGATGGTCTCGATCTCTCGACCTCGTGATCCACCCACCTCGGCCTCCCAAAGTGCTGGGATTACAGGCTTGAGCCACCGCGCCCGGCAACTTTCTAAATACTTTCTAAATACTTAAGTAATTATTTGCCTGTAGATTATAGGGCAGTCTCTATATTCACAAACCAAACTTATACCACCTTTTAAATATACTCTAAATATTAGGCCATTTATATTCAGAAACATTCAGAGATATAAAAGTTTTTTGTTTTTTTTTTTAAGATGGAATTTTGCTCTTGTTGCCCAGTCTGGAATGCAATGGCGTGATCTCGGCTCGCCACAACCTCCGCCCTCCAGGTTCAAGCGATTCTTTTGGCTCAGCCTCCCGAGTAGCTGGGATTACAGGCATGTGCCACCATGCCTGGCTAGTTTTTTATTTTTAGTAGAGCAGGGGTTTCTCCACGTTGGTCAGGCTAGTCTCGAACTCCTGACCTCAGGTGATCCTCCCGCCTCGGCCTCCCAAAGTGCTAGGATTACAGGTGTGAGCCACTGTGCCCGGCCAGTATAAAGGTTTTTTAAGCCAAGAAGCAATGACTGTTTTAAGTTCCTCTTTACAAATGAGTGCAAGAACAAAAAGACCTCTGATGTCATAGGTAAACTTATGAAGAGATTTCTTTATTAATACCACTGATCTAATCACGTTTACAGTTTTTTATCACACTTTAAAAGATGAACTTTCAGCCAGGTGCAGTCACTCATGCCTGTAATCCAAGCATTTTGGGAGGCTGGGGTGGGGGGATCACCAGTCAGGAGTTCAAGAACAGCCTGGACAACATGGTGAAACCCCATCTCTACAAAAAATACAAAAATTAGCCAGGCATGATGGCATGCTCCTGTAGCTTCAGCTACTTGGGAGGATAAAGTGGGGGGATCACTTAAACTGGGAGGTGAAGGCTGCAGTGAGCCAAGATCATGCCACCATGCTCCAGCCTGAGCAACAGGGCAAGACCCTATCTCAAAAAATGAATAAACAAATAAAAATAATGAATAAAAAGATTAACTTTAAAGTGAATTAACTATAAACACAACTCAAAAAAAACTTTTTTTTTTTTTGAGACAGAGTTTTGCTCTTGTCGCTCAGGCTGGAATGCAATGGCGTGATCTCAGCTCACTGCAACCTCTGCCTCCCAGGTTCAAGCAATTCTCCTGCCTCAGCCTCCCAAACAGCTGGGATTACAGGAATGCGCCACCCTGCCCAGCTAATTTTGTATAGAAATAGGGTTTTTTAGTAGGGACAGGATTTCACTATGTTGGTCAGGCTGATCTTGAACTCCCGACCTCAAGTGATCCATCCACCTCAGCCTCTCAAAGTGCTGGGATTACAGGCAGGAGCCACCGTGCCCAGCCTCCAAAATACTTCTAATTATATCTCATAAGACAAAAAGAATGTGAAAACTAATCATGGCTTAATTGCCTAAGTCATCATGAATTATAACAGCCACATGCTCTGTGGATAAAACAACTTTACCTTCACTACAGAATGGCTTATCAACCCCTGAGAATCGCACAGTCTCCTTTATCGTTTTCTGCAGTTTACAGTAGTCACACATTGCCACAACTTTATTTTTCTTCTTGTATTCATCAGAGCAATTCTTGCCACAAAACAGAAACATTCTACCCTACAGAGAAACAACAGTCATTAAGAGTTAACTGAACAGTTGCTTTAAGAAGTCCTTTTCATGTCAAAGCAAATTGAGTGATCGAAATTAAAAAGACAAAAGTGTTTCTGTTGGATAAGTTTATATTCAATCCTTTTCATGATCTCTCTTTACCTTGTAGAAAAGAAGTTCTGGTTTTGTGGCAAACAGATAGTTACACTGCTGACACTTGAGTTTAACAACTGTATGGGTTGAAGCAACTTGCTGGGATTGTTCCGTGAGAGGCCTGAGAGGCCGGAGGCCAGCTGTAGCAGAGAAACTGACGGCTCTAAGGGAAACGGCAGAGGTGGTACCTCCTTCTGTTGACACTGCTGACCTGGAGGAGGGTGTGCTTACAACCACGTGGCCCTGAGACAGGGGCACTGCTGAAGAGTTTGTTCCTTTTGGCTTGTTAAATACATTCTGAATTAAAACAAATAAGGTAAAGATTTTATCAACTGAGAAATAAGATAACTTGGTACTTTTCATTTCCTCATTTTAATAAATCAAGTCCCCACCAACATTGTTTTTAAATTTTCTATCTCACAGAAAGAGTTTAAATGGCATACTTCCTCTAATAAATTAAAGCAGGCCTCTCCTTCCTCCCAACCCCCGTTCCCCACCCACCTGCACTCCCATCATCAACTAGCTTCTGATGGCTATTAAGACACAATAGCCACCAGCAGTTTCTTTCTCTCTGCTGCCAAGGATACTGGGTCAGACATGTTCCTACCCCGGGGGATTACTAAACTCTACTCTTGTGTGTGTATTGCAGAGAGGGCAGAGAAAATGGGACTAGTGGATGCTTACAATTCCATGCCAGGAGTCACTAGGTATCTGACCCAGGATGAGAGGAAGGGGTTTGTGAATCCCAACAGGCTACTGTTCTTCACCATACCACCTACCCAAACCATAATCCTAGGTTCCATCTTTTTGAAGAGAGACCCAAGGGAGAAAGTGGGAGGGAATGACCGTTTAGGCAAGGATTTCAAATAAAGAAAAAATTGCTGAGACCCAATATCTAGATTCAGATATTTTGTAGAAATGACCTGCTTGGGACCCTGGTTGAAACGAATTTTTTTCTTTTCAATTCAAATTTAAACTTTCATAAGAATGGGCCTTTAGCAGTTAACACTGTGCCACAGATCAATGCCTAAGAGAACCACATGCATGATGTCCTCCTTTCGATCATACCTGGAAAGCGACCACACAACTGGAGCTGCAGAAGCTGTATATAGCTCCATTTGACATGGCTAGGTGATACTGAGGGATTGCTGAGGTTTTACAACTATAACACGAAACCTGGACACCTTGGTGACAAAAAAATAAAAACTAATGATTAAGTTATACAAATGAATAAACAATCCAAAAATGCACTGGGAGAATGAAAAATTAAATAATAATATACCCCCCAAAAAATCAAGAAACTTTATAAAAATCTGAAATCTAACTACAACTAACCTCAATTAAGTCCCACTTATAGAAAAAACTAACTTGGAAATTCTAAGTATTTTTTCTTCCTTTTCACATATAAAACTATAAATTACTATATAAATTGCAACCAAGAAAATCAGTGAAAAATTATTTTCACATAAAAGTTATTTGAAAGTCAATCTCGGTTCTTTATTTAAATAAATAGATAAATTTAGCTTGTAACAAAATCAAAGAAAAGCAGTTACATTTTTCTTCAATAGTTATTAAATCTATAAATTTATGAAATTTAAACATTACCTGAAGAAGTAACAGTCTTAACTCTGTAAGCAGATAAGCAATTAATAGAGCAGAAAAGCTCTGTTTTTCCTGAATCATTCGTAGTCTCAATCATTTCAGCTGAGGGCCTCAATGACTTTCCCAGGGCATATGGAGGAGTTTGGGCTGAATTCTATTAAAATAAAAGAACATTGGAAACCTAGTACAAGCATACATATTTACGTATTATTCAAAAAAGTAAAAAGAAAAGCTTCCTACAATCACTGCCCTTGGTTGAAATATTTGAGCATGATGATGAAACCACACTTTTGGGAAGTGGGAAAATAAGTTCTTCCACACAATAAAAAAACAGAAATGAAATAAAATTAGTAAATACTCAGATAGGTATCTTAGCAAACAAAACACACTAATTCAAACACAAGTAATGAATTAGGTAGTCATTACATACTTTCACATCAACAATAACCAGAGAAGGTCAGCTAATTCATGAACCAAAGGGCTATTCTCCTTACAGTCATGTACATCAATCTAGGACAGTCCACCACCTTTTAAGGTTTCTCAATTTGTGAGACTCTTCAGCAGGAGATAGAAATGATACTTAATGTATGTGAATGGAGATCCTATAGAACTACTTTTTTTTTTTTTGAGACTGAGTTTCACTCTTGTTACCCAGGCTGGAGTGCAATGGTGCGATCTCGGCTCACCGCAACCTTCGCCTCCTGGGTTCAGGCAATTCTCCTGCCTCAGCCTCCTGCGTAGCTGGGATTACAGGCATGCGCGACCATGCCCAGCTAATTTTGGTTTTTTTGTATTTTTTTAGTAGAGACGGGGTTTCACCATGTTGACCAGGATGGTCTCGATCCCTTGACTTCGTGATCCACCCGCCTGGGCCTCCCAAAGTAATGGGATTACAGGCTTGAGCCACCGCACCCGGCCTAGAACTACCTATTTTTCAAGCTGAGTTTCATAATAAAAATCTGCCTATAAGTTTATTCATGTTTCAAGAAACAACAAAATAGCTACCATTTACATAACCAATATTATAACTTATTGAATGCTTACCATGAACCAGGCCCCAGGCTAAGCAATTTATACATAGTATATCACAGAATCCTTTCAATGACAGCGTGAGGTGCTTTCAAAAGTTATATTAACAAAAGGTTTAAATTAACTTTAATTAACAGATGATCAGAAGAAGTAGGAAACTAAACTCATATATCATCAGGCTCCAAAGTTCAGGCTCCTAACCACTACACTATGCTGTCAGTGACACACTAAATCTCTCAATACGAAAGGAAATAGTAGAAAAATATAAATTGTGAGGTTTCACTACATAATCTTCCTAGTAAAAAGATACAGTATAATACCAGTAACAAAATTAGAAATGTAACTGATTTTGGGATCATATGTAAAATAACATGGATTCTTTTCCTGTGAAAGTAGTAACCAGACTGCCAAAAATGGCAATTCTTAAAAAAAGAGATTCTTTTCAGTGATGAATGTCCATATGTCCATTTCCAACTGCTCAGAGGAAGTAACAAATCAAACTTGCTAACTGAAAAAAATGTTTATCATTTATATGATACATCTTCTTTATATCTTTAGGAAGAACAACAACTTTTTTTTTTTTTTTGAGACGGAGTTTCGCTCTTGTTACCCAGGCTGGAGTGCAATGGCGCGATCTCGGCTCACCGCAACCTCTGTCTCCTGGGTTCAGGCAATTCTCCTGCCTCAGCCTCCTGAGTAGCTGGGATTACAGGCACGCGCTACCATGCCCAGCTAATTTTTGTATTTTTAGTAGAGACGGGGTTTCACCATGTTGACCAGGATGGTCTCGATCTCTTGACCTCGTGATCCACCCGCCTCGGCCTCCCAAAGTGCTGGGATTACAGGCTTGAGCCACTGCGCCCAGCCAGAACAACTTCTTTAAAACCACAAATCATTTGGTAATAATTAAATTGACAAAAAATGATATATTTAGTAACCAGCTCAATCCATTATTCATTACAATAAATAAAATTAAAGTATTCTCATGAGATACTGTTGACCAAATAATTCCAATTCATTCCCAAACACATTTTAAAATGAAAAAGACAAACTTTGTTTAGATTCACTGATTTTATCATCTTAACTCTTGCTTGAGGTTTATTTATAATATGGTTTTCTTGCTATCAATACATCACGAAATATTTCATGCTCACGGAAAATCATGAAACTACATTTATGAGGCCAGGAGTTGTAGCTCACGTCTGTAATCCCAGCACTTTAGGAGGCTGAGGCGGGTGGAAAGCTTGAGCTCAGGAGTTCAAGACTGGCCTGCACGACATGGCAAAACCCCATCTCAATTAAGAAAAAAAAAAAAGAAATCACATTTGTGAATTCTTAGCTATGAAGGGAGCCTTTAAAAAGGGCAACTATTTTACCTATATCAACTTACCACCATAATCATCCCTCATACCATCAGAATCTATCACATTTTCTGGAAGGGAAATCATGCATCAGGATGGACTAATGGGAGGAGCTCACTCTCAATTTGTAGTTCATTTCTGTGCAGTCAAATCAGAAGGAGTAAGCCTAACTACATGCAACAGATAGATATTCATACCTGCTTGTATGCCGTGACACTTGTTGAGCTAAAAACCTTCTGGGACTGGCAAGGACCAGAGCTACTATAGCAATAGCTCCCACAGTTCTCACAACAGTTCATGGTGAGGTTGTTGGTAGAGTGAAATTTTGAAAAACAGGCATCACTACAAAGACCATGTACTACATTTTGATATTTAACTTCAAACCGAATCTAGGAAATAAACACACACATAAATACAGAAAACAAGCAGAGCCAGTTTAAAAAAAAAACAAAAACTCTTTGAGCAGAATCCCAATAAAAGTAAAATGTAACTTACATCAGCATTCTTCTGACACATACTGCACTTAGTTGAAGTGCTATTGGTATATATGGTAACAACAGGTTTCTTCTTTAGCGCATAAGACGACAAACATGATTGGCTGCAGAAATCTTTGCTGAGAGAGGAATTCTCAAAGTGGGTTGTGATCACATCCTTAGGATTTAAAATGTCTCTAAAAATAAATAACAAAAGTAAAATGAAATGTGTTCTTCACAACTGTAAATTCCTCCTCTCTATGAGCTTAAACAACATTTACTAAGGGCAGCTATTGTATGGTAGAAAAAGGATAAGGCATCTGCAAACCTGGATTTGATGATGAGTTCTGTTATTTATTAGGTGAGTGACCATGAATGATGTAATTACTATCTCAATTTCCTTATGTTTAAAATGGGGTTTATAATACCTAATTCACAAATTTGTCTAGAGCAAATTATATTTAAAATATTGCCAGCCAGATCCTGAAGACAAAGATAGGAAGGCTTTCAGCCCCAATCAAGTTTCATCTGCTGTAGCCAATGGGACCAGTCAGTGGCCATCCCACAACTCCAGAACACAAGACACTGGTTCTCTTATTAGCCAGAGGGTGCCCAGAGTAGAACAGAAATGAGACAAAAAATGAATTTTTTTTTTTTTTTTGAGACAGAATCTAACTCTGTTGCCCAGACTGGAATGCAGAGGAGTGATCTCGGCTCACTGCAACCTCCACCTCTCAGGTTCAAGTGATTCTCCTGCCTCAGCCTCCAACCCAAGTAGCTGGGACTACTCCCACCCAAGTAGCTGGCTAATTTTTGTATTTTTAGTAGAGACAGGGTTTCGTCATATTGGCCAGGCTGGTCTCAAACCCCTGACCTCGTGATCCGCCTGCTTTGGCCTCCCAAAGTGTTGGGATTAAAGGTATGAGTTACCATGTCCAGCTGAGATAATAAATTTTTAAAAATTATAAGTGCAAGATTTTGAGAAACAGATGAGCTACCAGAATACAAAAAATAAGCATGATATATAATATTTAGCTATAACTGAAAAGATCAAAGAAACACATGACAAAAGGGCTATTAAGGCTTTGTATCAGAGGACAGATGGAGACAAGAATCAGACAGGAAGAACAAAAATAGTTGGTTCTGTGAGATTCCTAGAGCCAATTTGTAAGAGCTAATTATTGCAATAAGCACAAATAGCACTACCCTGGTAAAACAGAGGCTAAGTACTGCCATTCTTCTGACAAGCATAAACACTAGTGCAGGCCACAAAGGCCATATTAATGGCCATAATAATGGCAATAATATAAACTACAATAAGTGTGTTAAGTAATTACTATGTGCCAAACATTATTCTCTTTACTCAAATTACCCAATTTAAATACCACAAAAATGACAGAGTGCAGTGGCTTACCCCCACAATCCTAGCACTTTGGGAGGCCAAGGCAGAAGGATGGCTTGAGCCCAGGGAGTTCAAGGCTCCAGCAAGCAGTGATCACACCACTGCACTCCAGCCTGGGCAACAGAACAAGACCCTATCACTACAAAAAATGTTTTTAATTAGCCGGGCATGCTGACTCATGCCTGTGGTCTCAGCTATCAGGATGCTGAGTTGGGAGGATTGCTTGAGACGGAGAGGTAGAGGTTGCAGTGAGCTGGGATCGTGCCACTGCATTCCAGCCTAGGTGACAGAGTGAGATCCTGTCTCAAAAAAAAAAAAAAAAAAAAAAAAAAAAATCCCCAAACCACTATGAGGTTAAGTGTTATTGTAACTGCCTCTTTAGAGATGAGGTAACTGAATCAGAGGTTAAACAGCTTGTCAAAGTCATACTGCTAGTAGGCAGTAAAGCAGAAATACAAATCCAGGCAGTCTGATTCTAGCCTACGGAATTAATTATTCCACTATCCTGCCTCCCATCCTGCACCTTTATTATACAGGTGTATTATATGCTAAACCATGAGAAAATAACAACAATAAAAATTATTATGTAAAACTGAACAGAGCCGGGTGTGGTGGCTCAAGCCTGTAATCCCAGCACTTTGGGAGGCCGAGGCAGGTGGATCGCGAGGTCAAGAGATCAAGACCATCCTGGTCAACATGGTGAAACCCCATCTCTACTAAAAATACAAAAAATTAGCTGGGCATGGTGGCGCGTGCCTGTAATCCCAGCTACTCAGGAGGCTGAGGCAGAAGAATTGCCTGAACCCAGGAGGCGGAGGTTGCGGTGAGCCAAGGTCGCGCCATTGCACTCCAGCCTGAGTAACAAGAGTGAAACTCCATCTCAAAAAAAAAAAAAAAAAAAAAAAAACTGAACAGTAAAAATATGACAGCAAATCTTGGAAACCAAAGGAATATGCTTATATACAGATGAAGTATTAATTTTGAAAGTGATTTTTCTACTGAAAACACAGCAATACAGTTTCACTTAATAAGGTGAATCTGCCAGTGGCATAAGTAAAAGAAAAAATAGTAAGTAAAAATGTATTAAGTCAAAGAGAATAACTTTATAATGAAAATCTGTGCACATACATTAGAAATGTACTCTAAACCTTATGCATGCAAATGAATGTTATACCATAACATTTATCTTAGAAAAACGACACCTCTCCCAACAATAACATAGCTCAAAACATTTTTCTAATTTTTTTAAGTTTTATGAACCCTTAGAACTATTTTTTAACTTTTAATTTAATAAATCTCATGTTTTAATAGTATGACTCAATTTAGCTATTAAATTGACCCGATTCAGGTATCAAGCAGTCTTTGGCAATTCATAAAAATCAAACGCATGCTGAAAAGATAAGAATCTGTCTCCTAAGCTAGTCTAAAGGAATGTTTCATACGCTCTGAAGCAATGCCAAATCAAGAGAGCAAAAAAAATTTCGAGTAAGACCAGCACTATGCTAAAAAGTCACTGACGAGGGTGACTACTTTTAAGAAAACAAGAGGCATCTGGATGTGTAAGTCATGTTCTTTAAAACTATTTAATTTTATTTTGATATTTGGTATGTTGAAACAGTATCTAAAAATAAAAAACGAAGTTTACTCTTTCAGATTAGTTTCATGAACATGACATAAAAGTGTTAATTAGAAGGGCATTTTGCAACAAAACTGATTTATGGTATATAACTATTTAAAATTCCTCTCTCCTGGCCAGGCGTGGTGGCTCATGCCAACAGTCCCAGCACTTTGGGAGGCTGAGGCAGGCTAATTGCTGGAGCCCAGGAGTTCAAGATCACCCTGGGCAACATAGCAAAACCATCTCTACAAAAAATACAAAAATTAGCTGAGCATGGTGGTATGTGCCTGTGGTCCCAGCTACTGGAACGGTTGAGGTGGGAGGATCATCTGAGCCCGGGGAGTTCAAGGCTGCAGTGAGCTGTGACCATGCCACTACACTCCAGCCTGGGCAGCAGAGAAAAAAAAAGTCCTCTCTCCTCTTTAGTTGGAAATTTCCAAATAGCAGGATCTACTTTTAGATAGTTTAGGTCAAGACACTAAGCAGATAAACATGGCCAAAGGCAAAATAGGAGCCTACAAGTGATATGTTAAGTATACATATTAATATGTATTGTATGTACATATATTTAATATATTTATGTTAATTATAAACAGTAATACACAATATAATTTTTATTATTAATAACAGGATTCCATTTGTTAAGTACTTGCTATGTGCTACGCCATGTGCTAGCCCTGTCTCATTGAAATCCTAGGAAGCAACTATTATTTTCTGATGAGAAACGGAGGCTTAGAAAGTTAAATAGCTAGCCCAAAGTCACAGAGATAAATCATAGAGCCACAATTTAAAACCGAGCTCTTACTGTTTTTTGCCTGCAGGGACTACTAACAACACACAGTAGTCCTCGAATTACACTACCACAGAAATGGGCAAAACATATCAAATCCTTCAAATGTACTAAGGCAGAGAAAGATTTATGTAACTTTGTTGCTGTTTTTTCCTCTCTCGGCATCTAAGAATTATTATAAAGCAACAATGATCCCACAAGGACATTAGAAATAAACACATTTTTGTGACCATGTAGAGTTTTTACTTTTTAAAAAATTAAAGAGCATTCATATACTATTAAAAGAGTGACATTATTTTATGCTATATCAAATAACTTTCAAGAAAACTGTTATATGAATTTAAATGGTTGTTGTCTACAATTCCAGGATAGTCCTGCAGTTCCCACAAGTCATTTGTTACTTCTTTCCATAGTAAAATTTAAAGTGATAGAAAACTGGTTTAGGCAATATTCTAACACCAAGTTACTTATTTAATGTTGTAAAACTTTAAAATTTGCAAATTCCTCCATTACTTTCTACAGACACATGATAAAGAGCTGTAAAGTATCAACAGCATATTTGAACTAAACTATATACACAGTAAAAAAAAAAAAAGTAAAGTAAAAAGGGGTGTCAAGAATTTTATACTTGGAGCAATTTGTGCAGGTTTTCTTGGGAGGAGGTGGCAGGCAGGCAGGTGAAGAATGTCTGGTGATGCATCTTGTGGAGCAGAAGAGCTGAGTAGATCCTGTCTTATGATACGCAGTTTGCCCCTTATAAAGCATTCTTTTACAACCAGAACAAAAAACCTTAATAGCAACGGCTGGAACTGAAGGAGGCAATACACTTGGGCCAGATGATGCAAAAGAACGCTGAAAGCCTGGGTTTAACTGTTGGGCTATCAAAATAAAATTAAAAAAAAAAGTTTTAGTATCAATACTAATGCACATACAGTGTCTAAAGTTTTAGTATCAATACTAATGCATATACAGTCAGTCTCTCTCTCTCTCTCTCTCTCTCTCTTCCCCCCTCCCACTCCCTCCCTCCCTCCTCTTTCCTTTTTTGAGACAGGGTCTCGTTGTGGTACAATCATAGTTCACTGCAGCCTCAAACTCCCACAATTAACCAGTACTCCCACCTCAGCCTCCTGAGTAGCTGGGACTACAGACACATGTCACCATATCCAGCTAATTTTTTTTTTTCCCCAAGATGGAGTTTTGCTCTCATTGCCTAGGCTGGAGTACAAGGGTGCAATCTTGATTCACTGCAACCTCCGCCTCCTGCGTTCAGGCAGTTCTCCAGCCTCAGCCTCCTGAGGGGCTGTGATTACGGGCATGCAACACCACACCTGGCTAATTTTTGCATTTTTAGCAGAGACAGGGTTTCAACATGTTGGTCAGGCTGGTCTTGAACTCCTGACCTCAAGTGATCCACCTGCCCCAGTCTCCCAGTGTGCTGGAATTATAGGCATGAGCCACCTCGCCTGGCCTTTGTAAAATTTTTAGTAGAGGTAAGGTCTCACTGTGTTGCCCACGCTGGTCTCAAACTCCTGAGCTCAAGCTATCCTCCTGCCTCAGCCTCTCAATTTGCTGAGATTACAGGTGTTAGCCACCACACCGATCCCAGTCTCTCTTTTTTAGGACAAATTTCCTATCTTGAAATTCAGTGTTAATGAGGCAATAAGCACCCCAGAACAGAGGTTTCAATTTTTTTTTTTAACCATAACCCAAAGTAGGAAATACATTTAGTATTATAACCCAGTTCTCACACATATACATTTGTAAATGTGGGGATGTGTGTACAATTTAATCACTGAAACAGAAGCAATGTTTCCTTACTATACATATTATTCTTTTTATGATCTTTTTATTGCATTTTAGGTTTTGGGGTACATGTGAAGAACATGCAAGATTGTTGCATAGATAACACTCATGGCAGTGTGATTTGCTGCCTTCTTCCCCATCACCTATATTTGGCATTTCTCCCCATGCTATCTCTCCCCAACTCCCCACCGCCTGCTGTCCCTCCCCTATTTCCCCCCAACAGACCCCAGTGTGTAGTGCTCCCCTCCCTGTGTCCATGTGTTCTCATTGTTCAACACCTGTCTATGAGTGAGAACACGTGGTGTTCGATTTTCTGCTCTTGTGTCAGTTTGCTGAGAACGATGGTTTCCAGGTTCATCCACGTCCCTACAAAGGACACGAACTCATCATTTTTGATGGCTGCATAGTATTCCATGGTGTATATGTGCCACATGTTCCCTGTCCAGTCTATCATCGATGGGCATTTGGGTTGGTTCCAGGTCTTTGCTATTGTAAACAGTGCTGCAATGAACATTCGTGTGCACGTGTCCTTATAGCAAAACGATTTATAATCCTTTGGATATATACCCAGTAAAGGGATTGCTGGGTCAAATGGAATTTCTATTTCTAGGTCCTTGAGCAATCACCACACTGTCTTCTACAATGGTTGAACTAATTTACACTCCCACCAACAGTGTAACTACACATATTATTCTAATATAATCCTATTCTATTCTATATTTTTAAATACTGCTGCAAACCAACTACTCACAGTCTGAAAAACAAACAGCTCTAAAGGAAGAGAAAGACATACATGAAAAGATGTTTTCCCTCAATTTTACCAGTCAGAATAAGCAAATACTAACTGTAATTAACTTATACAGTTCTATTTCTTACCAAGAGGTCTGTCACTAACTGAAAACACAGCACTAATTTTCAATTCACTTTCTTGAGTTTTTGGCTGTTGGGCACATCCATACTCCTTTAGAAAAAAAAGAAAAGAAAAAATGAACAATGAATATAGTGTATGCAAGTAAACTAAAAATTCAAGCAAAAAAAAAATGATTCTATCCCATTCATTTCTTAAACATTCTGATCATAAACACCTTCACAAACACCTCAAAAGTCAAAATTTACAAGTTATTAGACTAGATTTAATCTTTGCAATGACAATGTTTCAGAATTAGAGAATTTTTTTTTTTTTTTGAGACGGAGTTTCGCTCTTGTTACCCAAGCTGGAGTGCAATGGCGCGATCTCAGCTCACCGCAACCTCCACCTCCTGGGTTCAGGCAATTCTCCTGCCTCAGCCTCCTGAGTAGCTGGGATTACAGACACACACCACCAGGCCCAGCTAACTTTTTGTATTTTTAGTAGAGACGGGGTTTCACCTTGTTGACCAGGATGGTCTTGATCTCTTGACCTTGTGATCCACCCGCCTTGGCCTCCCAAAGTGCTGGGATTACAGGCTTCAGCCACCGCGCCCGGCTGAGAATCTTTTACAGTAGTTTTATCTACTTTTCTTTTTCTTTTCTTTTTTTTTTTTTTTTTTTGAGACGGAGTTTTTGCTCTTGTTACCCAGGCTGGAGTGCAATGGCGCAATCTCGGCTCACCGCAACCTCCGCCTCCTGGGTTCAGGCAATTCTCCTGCCTCAGCCTCCTGAGTAGCTGGGATTACAGGCACGTGCCACCATGTCCAGCTAATTTTTTGTATTTTTAGTAGAGACGGGGTTTCACCATGTTGACCAGGATGGTCTCAATCTCTTGACCTCGTGATCCACCCGCCTCGGCCTCCCAAAGTGCTGGGATTACAGGCTTGAGTTATGTTTTTTTTTTGAGACAGTCTTGTTCTGCCACCCAGGCTGGAGTGCAGTGGTGCGATCTTGGCCCACTACAACCTCTACCACCCGGGTTCAAGCAATTCTCCTGCCTCAGCCTCGCAAGTGGCTAAGACTACAGGCATGAGCCACTACACCCAGTAAATTTTTGTGTTTTTCTAGTTGATATGGGGTTTCACCATATTGGCCAGGATGCTCTCAAACTCCTGACCCCAGGTGATCTGCCCACCTTGGCTTCCCAAAGTGCTGAGATTACAGGTGTGGGCCACCACACCTGACAAAAAGAAGCAATAAATGAAATTAAATCTGGCTGGGCACAGTGGCTCACACCTATAATCCCAGTTAGCTACCCAGGAGGCTGAGGCAGGAGAGTCACCTAAACCCAGGAGGAGGAGGCTACAGTGAGCCTAAATTGTGCCACTGCACTCCAGCCTGGGCAACAGAAGGAGCCTCCGTCTCAAAAGAAAAAAAAAAAAGAAAAGAAAAGAAAAATTAAATTGGAATGATTTAGAGTTTATATCTCAATCATTTTAGCCAACAGACTTACAAGCTGTCTTTTCTGCTAATGGCAGAAAAGATACAAGAGTGTCAATGCAATCTGCTCATTATACATAAAATCATCACAGAAAAAATCCTATTTATTTTTACATTCTTCAAAATGTTTTTAAACAAAATGTAATCATGAAACATTTTTTAAAATGTAAATGCCTATCTTGAATGGTCCTTTATTCTGAAATTACAACTATCCTTTTTTTTTTATGTTAAAATATCCTTACGTATTTCAAAACAGAAAGTTTTAAAAAATAGTCTTATTTTTCTGAATCAATGATGGTCATAAATGGCAGTTGTATTTTTAATCTCCCTACACATAGCAAAATAAATGAGTAGCTGTGATAGTTCCAAAGTTACTTTAGAAATTTCTTTAGACTATTAAATGCCAAAAACTAGGAACCATTGCATTAATTCACCACTTCCCATGATATTTATTATAAGCACCCAAAGAGGTGCTGTCTATAAGATATACCTTCCTTATAGATGAGTAAAACAAAGCTAAGAGATGTTCAGTGGCCGGGCACGGTGGCTCACGCCTGTAATCCCAGCACTTTGGGAGGCCGAGGTGGGTGGATCACGAGGTCAAGAGATCGAGACCATCCTGGTCAACATGGTGAAACCCCGTCTCTACTAAAAATACTAAAAATTAGCTGGGCATGGTGGCACATGCCTGTAATCCCAGCTACTCAGGAGGCTGAGGCAGGAGAATTGCCTGAACCCAGGAGGCAGAGGTTGCGGTGAGCCGAGATCGCGCCGTTGCACTGCAGCCAGGGTAACGAGAGCGAAACTCCGCCTCAAAAAAAAAAAAAAAAAAAAAAAGAGATGTTCAGCAACTTGCCCAAGGTCACAAAGAGACTACATGTACAGATGGGAATCAACCCAGACACTCTGTTTTGTTTTGTTTTTTTTTCTGAGATGGAGTCTCACTCTGTTGCCCAGGCTGAAGTGGAATGGAGCCATCTTGGCTCACTGCAACCTCCACCTCCTGGGTTCAAGTGATCCTCAGCCTCCTGGATAGCTGGGATTACAGGCACCCACCACCATGCTCGGCTAATTTTTGTATTTTTAGTAGAGATGGGGTTTCACCACGTTGGTGAGGCTGGTCTTGAACTCCTGAACTCAGGTAATCCACCCACCTCAACCTCCCAAAGTGCTGGGATTACAGGCATGAGCCACTGTGCCCAGCCAGTCTCTCTGTTCTAAAGCTCATGATATCACCCTCATAGATATAAAAATACAAAGTAATTACTACAGTGAATTCAAACTCTGGCCCAATTGAAATTAAGTTCCCCTGTTGTAGGAGTCTCTCCCATCTCCTTTCTCTCATAGTACTTATCATAATAAATCATTTAATTACTTATTTGGATAATTTGATTAATGCCTTAACATTCACCCTTCCTCCTACACACACATTGGACTGAAAAGATCACATCCATTACAGACAGGGACCACCATATCTGTTTTTTTCACCTCTGTATAACCAATTGCCCAACACAGTCAACATAACAGAAAAGACTATGGGTTCTAACAGCAGACAGAAACAGATATGATGTTGTCTCCTAAACAAGCTATTTAATATTTCTTAGTTTCAATTTCTTTATCTGTAAAGTAAAGATATATTACCTAACCCATAGGGCCAATGGGAAGGGAGAAGGCAAATGACTTATAGCATGACATTTTACAGTTAGTGAAAAGTAAGCATGATACATACACAAAACGCTAGTTCTTCTTTTTTTTTTTTAGACGGAGTTTCGCTCTTGTTGCCAAGGCTGGAGGGCAAGCAGGCAACTGTGCGATCTCAGCTCACCGCAACCTCTGCCTCCCAGGTTCAAACAATTCTCCTGCCTCAGCCTCCCGAGTAGCTGGGATTATAGGCATGTGCCACCACGCCCTGCTAATTTTGTATTTTTAGTAGAGATGGGGTTTCTCCATGTTAGTCAGGCTGGTCTTGAACGCCTAACTTCATGATCCATCCACCTCGGCCTCCCAAAGTGCTGAGATTACAGGCATGAGCCACCGCATCCAGCCAAAATGTTAGCTCTTATACTTTTTATTAGTTTCATAATTGTGTAATTTATTAAATACTTGCTAAATGGATGAATCTAAGTCTATTAAATCCAAAGTGCATGTTCTTAAACATTACTTCTACACTTAAATAACAATATTTACTGACATTTGCAAAAAGAAGAGGAAGTATTATATACATCTTCAAATTACCAAAATCAGTGTTTAAGATTCAATAAAAATTACTTTACCTTATCAATTCAATTTCTAAAATTTTTCTAATATTCCTGTTATATTTCCCTGACTCGTGTCTTTTACCTCACAACTCTTCCACACCTTCATAGCTCACAAGTCGCAACCCCACATCTTTCCTGCTCTTTGATGTTTCAATTTCACCAAGTAAAAAGAAGTAACTAAGAAATCCCTCAACATCCCTCAACCCTTCCACCTTACCTACAAATTGCTCAGCAAACTGTCCTACTATCTTACAGGAAAAGGAAACCTTCTTTTTAGCTATAGCTGAAATAATGCTATTTTAGAATAAGTGTGTTCCAAGTATTGCATGCAACACACTTACAGTAAAAATTACCATTGTTTATTTGATAGTCAAATTTAACCTGGCATCCTATTTTTTATCTGGGAGCCTTACATCTCCATGTAGGTAACTTTCCAATCTCCAAATCCCAGATTTGTATGTACAAATGCCTCCTTGTATAATTACCAATTGAATGTCCCACAAGCCCTTATTACTTCCTCGAAAATCCTGTTCTAATCCCTCAGTAAATGGTATCACCATAAACCCCAAAACCTGTAAGTATTCTTAGACTGCTCTTTGACCTTCACACCTCATATACAATCTCTAAATTTGATCAATCCTACTTAAACATTTTTAAATCTATTCTCTTTTCCCACTTTATTATTGATATTCAATTCTAAACACACCACATTCTCTCACCCCTCCATGACTTGGCTATTTTCTCTGCTATTTCTCATGGTTTTCTCTGTCTGAAACTCTTAATTGTTATAATTCAATTTGCTACCTGCTCTGTGAAGCCTTCCTCTCCTTCCCAGATAGATTTAGAGCTCCTTCCCCTATGCTCCCAATGTACTTCACACAATTTTAAAACACTAATATAAGACTGTGATTACATATATACATATATAAACAGATACATATTTTTAGACGGAATCTCGCTCTGTTGTCCAGGCTGGAGTGTAGTGGAGCAAACTCTTCTCACCGCAACCTCCGCCTCCTGGGTTCAAGTGATTCTCCTGCCTCAGCCTCCCAAGTAGCTGAGATCACTGGCATGCATTACCACGCCTGACTAATTTTTTTATATTTTTAGTAGAGATGGGGTTTCACCATGTTGGCCAGGCTAATCTCAAACTCCTGACGTCAGATGAGCCGTCTGCCTCAGCCTCCCAAAGTGCTGGGATTAGTGGCATGAGCCACTATACCTAGCCCACTTGAGGCCCACTTTGGCCTCCCAAAGTGCTGGGATTACAGGTGTATGCCACTGCCCCTGGCCTTGATTTTGTATTTGTATAAAAAGTGGCACAGGCCGGGCACAGTGGCTCACGCCTATAATCCCAGCACTTTAGGAGGCTGAGGCAGGTGGATCACTTGCAGTCAGAACTTCGAGACCAGCCTGGCCAACATGGTGAAACCCCATCTCCACTAAAAATACAAAAATTAGCCAGGCATGGTGGTGCACACCTGTAATCCCAGCTACCCAGGAGAGCAGCTTAAATCTGGGAGGCAGAGGTTGCAGTGAGCTGAGATCACATTACTGCACTCCAGCCTGGGGAACAGAGCGAGACTCCATCTCAGAAAAAAGAAAAAGGAGAGAGAATAGTTCATGCTACTTGTGAGTGACAGACAAACTTCATCTTAAAAGAGCACAAAACTTCGCCAGCCTATCTAGCTTATTTCTTCTTCCACCGGCATAAGAAATGGCATGTGCAAAGGCAAGGAAATAAAATGCAACAGAGTTTTAGAAGACAATGTTGAATGAACTGCAAATAGTTGGCAGGAGTATAGATTAGAAAAGGTGGGAAAAATGAATGATAACACTGAAGAGAAAACAAAGGCCTAAACATGTATAGTTTGGGTGTTACATTGAAAGATCCCTGCTTCATCACACAGGAGGAAACAGGGTCTTTAAAGAGAGAAATATCACTGAATCTACACAGTACAATGGCATCACTGTACAGTGTTTTGATGGGATATGTGACTGAAGGAAGAATAGCTAGGAAACTATTACAGAAGTCCAAATGAGAAATAATGAAATGTTTAAGTGCAATGGCTTATGCCTATAATCCCTGCACGTTGGGAGGCCGAGGCAGAAGGATCACTGGAGGCTGTGAGTTCAGGACCAGCCTGGGCAACATAGGGAGACTCCATCTATATCAAAAACTATCTCTGTAAGGTTTACTGCTGATGTAAAATGAGGAAATTGAGGCAAGTATGAGAAAATGAGAAGCTAATTTATTTAGCTCCTGAGCGAGGTTCTGTGGTCCAGGAGGGGGCCATAGAAGTCGTGCCCAGCAGCTTAGATTATGGGGTTTTATAGGGATGGAAGGCGACTGATTGGCTATTGGGGAAACAAAGCAAAGGCAATTTTATCGACTCTTAGAAAGCAGGAAGTGTTTGGAGCTAAGGGTTAATGGTAGGCGGGCGGGACCTTGGGCTTTGATTGACTGTTGGGGAAACAAAGGGAAGGTAATCTTATTGGCTGTTAGGAAGTAGGAAGTACTTGGAGCTAGTGGTTATGGGTAGGCAGGTGGGATTTTGGGCCTTGATTGACTGTTGGGGAACAAAGTGAAGGTAATCTTATTGGCTATTAAGAAGCAGGAAATGCTTGGAGCTAGTGGTTATGGGTAGGTAGGCCTTCTGGGGCGTACAGAGCAGACAGCTACCAGTCAGGGTCTGATGGGGCTTCTTAAAAAAATTTTCCTGCGGTGTTTATTAACAGCGGGCTGGGCGTTGAATGCATAATTTAGTGCTGAATGTGGGCTTGGGTCTGGTATGCGGAAAGCCGTGAGGCAAGGCCAGATAACGGGCTTGGGTGATGACACGGTTATCAGGCCCAGAGAGAGATGGATGTGTCCGTTTTAACCCTCTGCGAGGCAGCTGGCCTTACAATTGCCATGTGGTGTAACACGTTTGTGGTCAGCTAACTGGGAGGCTGGGGTGGGAGGATTACTTAGAGTGCAGTGGCCATAATCGCACCAGCGCAACCCAGTATGGGCAACAAATTGAGACCCTGTCTCAAAAAAAAGACAAAGAAAATATAATGCAATAACAGAAGAACATGAAGGGCCAGATACAAAAAATATTTAAAAGCTAGAATCCACAAACCCTGGCAAAGAAATGGTTACTTTAGGCAGAGAAAGAGTAAGAATTTACCACCTGGAGGGAACAAGTGGCATGGATGTCACCATCCCCTACACCACATCTTACAGAAACTACCTCAGAACTCCTCAGCTCAGCACTGTAGGAAGGCATAGAGTTAATAAGTGAAACAAAACCTGACATCCCTGTCTTGAAATGATACTGCCTATGGCTGGGCACAGTGGCTAACACCTATAATCCCAGCACTTTGGGAAGCCAAGGTGAGTGGATCACTTGAGGTCAGGAGTTTGAGACCAATCTGGCCAACATGGTGAGACCCTGTCTCTACCAAAAATACAAAAACTTGGCCGGGCGTGGTGGCACACACCTGTAATCCCAGCTACTCAGGAGGCTAAGGCAGGAGAATGACCTGAACCTGGGAGGAGGAGACCGTAGTGAGCCAAGATCACACCACTGCACTCCAGCCTGTGCAGACAAAGCAAGACTCCATCTCAGAAAAAAAAAAAAAAAAAAAAAAAAAGGAAATGTGAGATGTTATAAAAAATAAATGTATTATTTAAAAATGTTATTGCTTCCCTTATACAATAAAGTCAGTAACTATAGGGTATAAAGCAAAAGAACTGTCCTAGAAGAAAAAAACATTCCTTGCCAAAACAACTAACTCATCTCTCCACAGTGATTCCTGTGTTCTCCATTCTGTGTCTCTATGGGGTAACCAGAATGATCTTTCCAAACACAAATCTGTTTCATCTTACTTTCTCACTTAAAACCTACAATTGGCCAGACACAGTGGTTCACACCTGTAATCCTAGCACTTTGAGAGGCCAAGATGGGCAGATCACCTGAGGTCAGGAGTTCGAGACCAGCCTGGCCAACATGGTGAGATGCTGTCTCTACTAAAAATACAAAAAATTAGCCAAGTGTGGTGGTGAGCACCTGTAATCCCAGCTACTGTAGAGGCTGAGACAGGAGAATCGCTTGAACCTGGGAGGTGGAGGTTACACCACTGAGATCACGCCATTGCATCACAAAACTCCCATCTCCAAAAAAAAAAATGCCAGGCATGGTGGCTCACGCCTGTAATTCCAGCACTCTGGGAGGCCAAGGCAGGCGGGTCACGAGGAGCTTAACACCAGCCTGACCAACAGGGTGACACCCCGTCTCTACTAAAAATACAAAAATTAGCCAGGCCTGGTGGTACGCACCTGTAACCCCAGCTACTAGGGAGGCTGAGGCAGGAGAATTGCTTGAACTAGGGAGGCAGAGATTGCAGTGAGCAGAGATCATGCCATTGCACTCCAGCCTGGGTGACAGAGCAAGACTCCGTCTCAAAACAACAACAACAACAAAACCCTACAATGGCTATCAACCGCTCTTAGGATAAAGACCAAAATTTATAACAACATCCGCGAAGTCCTGCATAATTCAGCCTCAAACCAGATTTACAGTCTTATCATAGAGAAGCAGCATAGCACAGGTTCTGGGGTCTGACCACCTGGATCTGAATCCAGTCTTTGTTATTTACTGTGATCTGTGGCAAACTATTTGGCTTTTTTAAGTTCTGGTTTCCTCATCTGTGAAATGTGGATAACAATATGGTGTTGGGAATGGTGCCTGGCACACTCTTAAGCACATATAAGTATTAAGTTAATAATGCCACATATGATTATGATATAATATATACCGATATACTAATGCCATCTATTTTTATTGTTGTTTTGATCATTATCATCATCACCATTTTCATACCTTTTCTGTTGCAGGCTCACTGGTCCTACAGGTCTTGAAAAGAACCACACATCTTTCCAACTCAGGGCTTTCCTATTCACAATTTCCTCTGTCTGAAATACTCTTCACCATGCCCTTTGCCTAATCAATTCATTCTTCATAACTCAGCGTACACATCCTTCCCTTAGAGAGGCCTTCCCTAGCCATCCCCAGGCCTCAGACCACAACCAAAACTAGGTCAGATTCCCCATTTTAGGCTTTTCTTCCAGAGCATTTGTCATAGTTTGTAATTACATATATTATTTGACCAATACTTGTGTAATCTCTGCCTCCTCTACTAACATGTAAGTTCTACGAGGAAAGGGACTAAGCTAACTTTGCTCAATCCTGGATCCCCAGAGCCTAGCATAGACCACAAATTCTTAACAGAATAAAGGAAAGTACTACCAGATTCAAGAAAATTTTTTTAAGTGACAAGTATGGAAAAATAGTAAATATATTACTTTCCTTCCAAAAAAAAAAAAATCACGTAGTTACATCTTTCATTCAAAGAGCAGAAAACCAGCCAGGCATGGTGACTCACACCTGTAATCCCAGAACTTTGGGAGGCCAAGGTGCATGGACTGCTTGAGCTCAGGAGTTCGAGACCAGCCTGAGAAACATGGCGAGACCCCGTCTCTACCGAAAATACAAAAAAGTAGCTGAGTGTGGTCGTGTGTGCCCATGGTCCCAAGTACACAGGAGGCTGAGGTGGGAGGATCACTTAAGCCTAGGAGGTGAAGGCTGCAGTGACCCGAGGAGATGGAGCAGATTGTACCACCGCGCTACAGCCTGTGCAACAGAGCAAGAGCCTGTCTCCATTTGGGTTATTTTAACTTACAAACCAGAAACTGCCTAACTAAAATTTTTCAGTTCACCAGATCTTAAAAAGAAAGTTGTTGTTTTTTTTTTAATTAAATCAAGATGAAATGCTTACTTGAGCATTATCTGGTTCTTCTTTAATTTTGTCCAGAAGCTCCTGCTGTGGTACCACTGCTTTGCCACATTCACCATCCAAAGGTTCTTTCATTCTAATTTTTTACCTGAAGGAGTTCCTCAGGCTCAAACGAATAGATTTCTTCTTGGCAATGGATAGCTGGACACCTAAAATACATACTCAGGTTTATTCTTTTTTTATTTCAAGCTTATCTATATGAAAAACTTCATGTTGAGTGCACAAGTTTTCACAGCTCAGCATTTGAAAAACAACTCTTCTGGGGGCCATGACTAACTTTTTTCTTTCTTCCTTTCTGCTCCTTCAGTAGCTACATAAGAAAACAGTTTTCCAGCAACAGCTCCCACTTCTCTAGTATCTTTAAAGACACACACACTGGTCTTTCCTGTGTTGAACGTAATTGAAGGGAATTAGACCAGCAGCAGACCAAGATGTGGGAAGAAGTTACCAACCTCTGAGAAGAATGGACTCAAAAAATAGTTTCTGACCCCATGAGAATCAGTACTTAGAGGCCCACGTCAGCTTTTATTTCTCAAAGTGAGGCACAACAACCTCCCTGCCCTGACCTATAACTCAACCTTGACTGGAAGCCTCCCTAAGGGCCCCATTTCTTGGCCTAACGCTCCATCTTAGCTCAAGATGCCATTCATTGCAGGCGAACAACAGGCACGCCCTTAGAGAAAGTGAATCACCTGCCTCTTTCAAGGTCTCCGTGTGGGAAGTGGGGGGCCTCAAGCCCCTCTGAGCGCCGCTTCACAATCGCCCTCCTGTGGAAAAGAAACTCAACTGGCCATTCAGTGAATTCCCTTCCCCTAAGAGTCAAAGAACTAAACGGGGCAAATTAAACCTAAAACGAAAAGCTCTTCAAAGTTGTCTTTATCCGAATAGTCAAGGACGGAAATGGACAACTGGTTGAAAAGCCTGTTCCGAAGAAGAGACGAGAACTTTTGCGCACTCGCCACAGTCACAACTCTCTATGGGCGCGCATTCCTCCTCTAAGAACCGCACGCGTTCGGAAATTCTTCCCACCAAGAATTCCCACTCCTATCACTAAGGACTAACAACGCAACGTAGTCTCCGACAGAGAGCAGAGGACTAGCCAGTGCGTGTCAACGCGTACCAAAAGCGAAATCCGCAGCCGCCCCAGCCGCGTAGCCCACCTGGCACCGCCCCCGCCGCAACGCCTCGTCACGTGGCGCGGCCTCCGCCCCGCCGTCCCGCCCACTACCAGTGCGGCAGCGCTCATCTTTTGTCGCCTACCTGCTACCGGAGGAGCACCGGACAGAGAATTTGGTAATAAGAACCAAGCCTTCTGCGCCTAGACAAAGATCATTTTCTCTTCTGGAATTCTGCCTGATCCATCACAACGCAACAGCCGGCCAACCGCGCATGCACAGCCCTAATCTCCGCCCTCTTTTCCCGTCAAGCTCCGGACCTAAGCAGAGGAGAACTTCCCAGCATTCCTCTTTCCTTAGTTTTGATTTACTTCTTAAAGAGACCGAGGCTCAATTGTGAATAGTTGGAGAAAGGGGTTTAAGGAGGATTATCAGTGGCCTTAGAAGGTGCTGTAAGTGTTCTGTAGTGTGTGTGTGTGTGTGTGTGTGTGTGTGTCAAGAGTCTCACTCTGTTGCCCAGGCCGGGGTGCGGTGGTGCAATCATGGCTCACTGCAACCTCCACCTCCTGGATTCAAGTGATTCTCTTGCCCCAGCTTCTTACAGGCGCCACCACCACGCCCAGCTAATTTGTAGCGTTCTTTAATGCCCATTTCCTGAACCGTGGCCTACTGAGAGAGCATGGTAATAAATATTACTTGGCTTGCTAAGCACTTCACATGCCTCATCCCACTTAATCCTCACAATAACCCTAAGAGGTATAATTTTTTAATCTCTAAGATATAAATGAAAATATTAACTTGCCCAAAATGAAGATTTGTTATTTTTTTATTCAGCGTTGTTTAACAGATACATCTCTGATTTGTGATTGTTCATTCATTTTGATTGCTGTATGATATTCCGTTTTATGAATATGGTACAATATTAGTCATCTACTATTGATGGACATTTGAGTTGTTTCCAATTTGTGCCTATTAGGAATAATGTCACTGTAAACATTCTTGTCATTGGTGGTGTTAAAGGACAAAATTACAGCAAATTTAATTTAAAGATCTCAATTAGCTTTATTTGTGATTCTAGAATCTGGCAACACTTCATTCTATAAAATTGAACAAGAGTTCCAATGAGCTGAGCAGAAGAGGTAGCTTTTATAAGCAGAGAAGGGCTGGAGAAAGCAGAAACAAAGAACAAAAAACAGATTGGTCCATTTCAAAAGTAACTTTCCAAAAAATAAATAAATAAGTTATTTTCCTTGTAAAGTAGAACCAGGAAACAAAACAATAGAGAAATAACTGATTGGTTAACATCAGGTAACTTCAGTTTACCTTTTTTTGGTAAGGATGAAAGCAGAAGGAATTTCGTTATTTTCCTAATTGAAACTGGCACTCAGGAAATTAGACTGTTATTTGTTTTTCCTGACTTCTCAGAACTTCATATAACAAGGTAGTTTCAGTTTGATGACATGGTTTTGCTTTCTGCAGTTTAGTTACCCACAGTCAACCACATTCTGAAAATATTAAATGGAAAATTCTAGTAACAAATAATTCATTTTTTTTACCCTGAGTCAGAAAATTATTTTAATAGTTAACAAAACTTTTTTTACAGAATCAATTTAAAATAGCAGTTGATTTCTCCATAATTATCAGAATTATTTATATTTGAGGTCTTGGCTAAGTGGGGCTGAAATCAACAAAAGGTCTTGGACTGTTGGCTCAAAAGTCATCCTAGGAAGCCCACCCTGTTGATACCTGTCATGCTTAGCTCTTATGAGATGACCCAGCCTTTAAAAAAAAAAAAAAAAGGATCTCTCTTTATTCATTCTTTGGAGGCTTGAATTCGGCAGCGTTCATTAAACACCTTCCAGCTCTGTCATTTACCACTTCTTCAACATTCAGTTCTGACTGCATCCATTTCAACTTTGTCTGCTCTTTTCTAAGTTGCTTTAATAACGTTAATAGTCCAAATTCTTTTCAGTCTCTTCTCGGAGGTTTTTTACTACTTCTGACGTCTGGGCTATACAATTTTTTATGACTCTGTCTCTACTGGCATGAGTTGCCATCAAAGACTCATACAGCTGTTTACAGGTTTGGCTGGCATCAATTTTCCCTGCAAAGGAAGCTGTTGGAACCGTAGCGTTTAATTCATGTACTATTCTGTCATCAATTATCCTCATCACCTTGAGTAATTCCTGGAACTCAGCGAACTCCTCGCAGTTCACACCGCCACTGGGCACCGCCATATTGGACCTAATTCATAAGTTTTAAACAACTTTTATTAAAGTATATGGTTATAATTGTTCTATTATTACTTGTTAGTCTCTTTCTGTGCCTCATTTACAAATTAAACTTTATCATAGGTATGTATATATAGAAAAATATAGAATATGTAGGGTTCAGTATTACTGGAGGTTTCAGGCATCTGTGAAACATCGTGGAACACATCCCCCATGGATAAGGGAGGACTACTCTATATATTGCAAATATCTTCCCCATTCAGTAGCTTGCCTTATCACCCTATTGTTGGTATCTTCTGATGAACTTAAAAGACCTTTGTGGCCTGCTGCAGTGGCTCATGCCTATAATCGCAGCACTTTGGGAGGCTGAGGCAGGCAGAACCCTTGAGGCCAGGAAGGAGTTCGAGACCAGCCTGGCCAACATGGTGAAACACTGTTTCTACTAAAAATACAAAAATTAGCCCAGCGTGATGGGCATCTGTAATCCTAGCTACTCAGGAGGCTGAGGCAGGAGAATAGCTTGAACCCGGGAGGCGGAGGTTGCAGTGAGCTGTGATGGTATCACTGCACTGCAGCCTGGATAACAGAACAAGACTCTGCCTTAGAAAAAAAAAAAATTGCTGGGCATGGTGGTATGTGCCTATAGTCCCAGCTGCTCGGGAGGCTGAGTCAGGAGAATCACTTGAATCAGGAAGTGGAGGTTGCAATGAGCCACGTTTGCACCACTGCACTCCAGCCTGGGTGACAAGCTGGACTCCGTCAAAAAAAAAAAAAAAAAAAAAAAAAAAAAAAAAAAAAGAAAGAAAAAGAAAAAACAAAAAAAAAAAACCTTTGTACTTAGTGCTTATTGTGCACCCTTAAGTAAGAAATATTTTCCTACCAAATGAAGAAAATTTCTAGAAATGTTAGTAGTCTTTCACATTTAGTTCTGTAATCCACTTTAAGTTGGGTTGTGTATATAGTGTGAGGTAAGTCAGATTTCAGCTTTTCCCTGTGAATTTTAAATGGATTAAGCACTATTTTTTTAAAAGACTGTCCTTTTCCCCACCATTCTGCACTGACACCTTTGTCATGCATGAACGTATAAGTTGTCTATATATGTAGATTCGTTTTAGGACTATGTTGCCGATTCCTTTTGTTTCTCCTGTGGAAATACCATATTGTCTTAATTTCTGTAATAGCTTTATAATAAATCTTAGCATATGATAGAAAAAGTCCTCCCTCCTCTTACGTCCTTCAAGATTGTCTTGGCTTTCCTTGGTCCTTTGCATCTTGATGTAAATTTTTTAACCAGCTTGTCAGTTGTGACAAAACTTTCCTTATAAATTTTAGAATCCATTGGGATTTTCTTTAGTGTTATACTGAAGTGGTATGCCTGTTTTGGAGAATTGGTATTTGTTATTCATTGTGTTGAACTGTGTTGCCTAAAAAGATATGTTGAAGTCCTAACCCTCAGAATGGGACCTTATTTAGTCACATAGGATTGTTGCAGATGTAATTAGTTAAGATGAGGCCATATCAAAGTAAGGTGGGCGCTTAATTCATTGTGACTGGTTTCCTTAAGAGAGGAGAAGATATGGAGACATACACATGGGAGAACACCATGTGACAATGGAAGCAGAAATTGAAGTATGCATTTGCAAGCCAAGGAATGCTAAGGATTGTTGATAACACTGAAAGCTAGGAGAGGCAAGGAAAGATTCTCCCATATAGGTTTCAGAGAAAACATGACCCTACTGATCTTTAATTTTAGACTTCTAGCCCCAAGAATGGTGAGATAATAAATTCTGTTGTTTAAAAAAAAAAAAAATTTGTGGTACTTTATTAAAGTAGGCTTAAGGGACTAATAATAGCATTCTCCAGGGTTGACTCTTTCAATCCATGAAAATGATATATTTCTCCATTTATTTGTAATTTCTGTGTCTGTAATTTCTCTTAATAATGCTTTACAGTTTTTAAGTGTAGAGATTGCACACATCTTTGTTAGATTTATTCTAGGCATTTAATATTTCATGTCATTTTAAATGTAAATTTTTATTTTCTAATTGTTTTCAGTATAAAAATAGAAATACAGTATATTTTTGTATGTTGGTATATTTTGTATGAAGCTAGCGCCCTTGCTAAATTATTAATTAAACTAATTAATTCTAATAGTCTAGCCATTTTTCTTTCTGTTTCCAGCTATGTAGAGAATAATGACCATTTTATTTATTTATTTATTTCTAATTATATAACTTTTATTTCTTTTTCTTGCCTATAGCAGTGGCTAAACCTCTAGTAACGTGTTGAATGGAAATGGTGATATTGGGCATCTGTATCTTGTTCTTGTTATGTTGCTTTCAACATAAAATTATTGAATATTATATTTACTTCAAGATGTTTGTAGTTACCTGTGGGAGGTTAAATATGGCCATAAAGTTGTTACAACTTTTCCCATCAAGGGAAGGAGTCTTTAGTGTGCAGATGGGTGGATTTAAAAGACAGACAGAGAGAGAGAGAGAGAGAGAGTCTGTGATAGTTAGTGTGTCAATTTGAATCTGTAGATTCAGTAATATGTAATGTCCTCCAAATATGGAAAGGCATTATCCATTGAAGGCCAGAATAGAACAAAAGGTAGAGAAAGGAAGAATCTGCCCTCTCTCTCTCTTTTTTTTTTTTTCCTGCCTCACTGTTTAAGCCGAAACATCCCCTCTCATCTTTTCCTGCCCTTGTACTAGGATTTATATCATCGGCTCCCCTGGTTCTCAGGCCTTTAGACTCGGACTGAATTACACCACTGGCTTCCCTGGGTCTCCAGCTTGCAGA